GTATGGGTAGTCATGGAACCTATGACCCAGCAGTCACCCCTTAGTCTGTATGAAGCGGTCAGCTTGCACATACAGTCAGGGTGGACACACTTGATCTTGTACCTTTCCGGGTTTACACGATCCACCTTATAATCAACCGAGTTGAGCATGTGAAATTTTTTGATGGCCCTTATGCATTCCTCTCTATTACGAAACTTGTCCTTCTCTTTTAAATTTTCATCCGACTGCATATACGGTTGGAAAAACAAGTCCGTAGAAGGTTCATCTCCGCCCATGTTGAAGTTTGTCATGTGCGTAGGTGGTGTGTAGATTTTGTCGGTAGGAATACTTGGGATGCCATCATCGTCAGAATCGTCGTTCACCATTTCATCAAACTCTAACGCGTTATCTTCTTCTTCATCATCAACTGCATCCACCTCATCTTGCTCATTCTCCAAAGGATCAACCTCCTGTGTCACCGGAGGCTCTACCTCCTGTGTCACCGGAGGCTCTTGAAACAAAACGTACAACTTAATAGAGTCGTTTCCAGAATAGACATGGCTGGAAATCATGTTCTGGAAATCCTCGTCATCTTGAATTTCAACCTTATAAAAAATAACTTGGTTGTTTCCAAAAAAGACTGGACTCTGATAAAATATCTGGGATACCGGGCCTCGTTCAAGTTTGGCCTCCAATCTTTTCTTAAAGTACGAGAAATTTGCTTTCCTGTTTAAGAGAAATCGAACATTGTCGGTGTTTCTAAACAAAAACCCAACTGTGGGACACATGTATGTCTCACCGTTGAAATGTGCTTTGACAACAAATTATGGTGAAGAGGCCATTGTGTAGAATTGTTTTAAGGTATGAAGGTTGGAATGTTTTAGGTTTATTGATTGTATGAAGGTATGAATGCTGGAATGTTTGAAGGTTAGATGACTGATTCGAAGGTTGGAAAATTTTACAGTTTATGTGAATGAATGTTATGTTCAACGTAAGGCAAAAAATTTCAATTAAGTAAGTGATGCAACCCCCCAAGGCTGCCAATAATATTACATGTATGGGCTTATGCAGCCACCTAGCCTGCCACCCATCAACTCCAATGGCCTTGCATGCAACAAAGAAAGGAATCCCAAAGCCTGTCACGTAGCCTGAGCCAATGCTGTAAAAAGTGACACCTCTTATTCGCCAAATGGGGTGGCGACACCATTCATTTTTGTACTCTTTCGCCAAGTGAGATGGCGCCTCCCTTACTGTCCAATCGTGATACATGCATAGGCTTATGCAGCCACCTAGCCTGCCACCTAGCCTGGCCCTATTCTACACACATACATGTTTTGTGTAAGACTCCACCCATCAACTCCAATGGCCTTGCATGCAACAAAGAAAGGAATCCCAAAGCCTGTCACGTAGCCTGAGCCAATGCTGTAAAAAGTGACACCTCTTATTCGCCAAATGGGGTGGCGACACCATTCATTTTTGTACTCTTTCGCCAAGTGAGATGGCGCCTCCCTTACTGTCCAATCGTGATACATGCATGGGCTTATGCAGCCACCTAGCCTGCCACCTAGCCTGGCCCTATTCTGCACACATAAATGTTTTGTGTAAGACTCCACCCATCAACTCCAATGGCCTTGCATGCAACAAAGAAAGGAATCCCAAAGCCTGTCACGTAGCCTGAGCCAATGCTGTAAAAAGTGACACCTCTTATTCGCCAAATGGGGTGGCGACACCATTCATTTTTGTACTCTTTCGCCAAGTGAGATGGCGCCTCCCTTACTGTCCAATCGTGATACATGCATGGGCTGCCACCTAGCCTGCAAGAGTGACACCTTACATTTTTTGTAAATGCATGCATGCATATGTGTAACACCCTAAGCATGCAAATGTGACACATCACAGGCATGCAACCACTACTTCAAACTTATTTGCCTATAAATACATACCTTATGAAACATCTCTCACACCCAAACAACTCTCACTCTCTGCTACGAAATATTTCTTAAGTCTATCATACTCTCTATTTCTTCCTAAGTCTTTCATTCTCTCAAGCATTCTGAACAATGGCTCTTCTAACAATGGGAGATACTCACAGAGGCACAAGGGAAAACATTGCTGCATTTGTAAGTCTCTTCTTTGGTTATACATTTTTCATACTTCAAATAACGTGTTGTTCATCTTAATTAATCTTACTCTTGTTTAATTATGATCTCAGGATACACAAAGATTCAGAATCCGTTCGCACAAATACCTGGCTCCCGACCCATTTATCGTCCCTTATCTGGAATATGCAGGTTTTGGACACGTGATAAAGATCTCCAACTGCACCATTGACTCAAAATTCATTCTTGCAATGTTGGAGAGGTGGAGACCGGAGACCCATACATTTCACCTACCAATAGGTGAATGTACCATCACTCTCGAAGATGTGTACATGCTACTGGGCCTCCCTATCGACGGTAAGGCGGTGAACGGGTCGGTTCAACAACCCAACTCACAGTATGAAGAACTGTTGGGTAGGGACATGGTAGAAGGTGGTGGAGCAAGAGGGCAGGGAATACTACTCACTGACCTGAAACGACATTATGCAAGTATGGAATTAAATGAAAATTCCTCAGAGAATGACCGAGTAGTAAAAGCCAGAACGTATATTATGATACTTTTTGGTACATTTTTATTTCCCGAAAGTACGGGAAATAGTGTAAATTTCATGTACTTACATTTACTAACAAATTTTGATAAAACTAGAAAATATAGTTAGGGTTCTGCAGTATTAGCCCACCTGTACAGTTCCTTGTGCAAAAACGCAGTCAAGGAAAAATGTACATTTTATGGGTGCGCATTTTTACTACAAGCCTGGGGTTGGTGGAGGATGGAGTCCTTAAACCCCATCAACAACAACACTTTTGGTTTCCCGTACGCAACAAAGTAAGTCATTAAGTTATAGCATTTATAACTATTCTGCTCTTTCCAAAATATATGCTAAAAATAACATGTTTCTCATTTCCTTTAGGTACTGCGTGAGGGGTATGGATTACGGCAAGAATCCCAGATTCAATGTCGCACTCTACCGGAATCTGTTGGATCACTTAGGCCCAGATGACGTACGTCGTAGCTTTTAACTTTTGTTCATTTTAATTATTTATACATTACTTTTGCGCTTACCTGATTTAAATTTTATCGCAGTTCGTCTGGAGACCATATTTGGGTTTGGGCCATTCTCCAAATCCAGAGGATGCAGCAACTTGGACTGCAAAGACTGCACTCATTCGGTTCAACATTGTGGAGATGCACCACAGCGACCGTGTGAAGATGCAGTTCGGAATGATCCAAGAGATACCAAGTGATCCAACAGATTTGTCCCCCTGGCATCTAAAAAGGGTCGACGCCCAGTGGGGTCTTACCAACTGGAAAGACTTTGCTCCAGAATGGTGTAAAATGTGGCAAAGGCGTCACCGCTACATCTTGCAATCCCCGGTTTTCCTTACTCAAGGTAACATGCGACACACTGATCAATATATGTCGTGGTACAGGTCGGTTAGTAACCCAGATATGCACGTGTCTCATCCGAGGTACTTGGTTGACCCACGCACACAATGGGCACAACCCTCGATTCCCCATCAACAAACCCAAAATCCATCAACCTCAAACCAACCCCCAAGAAGAACCAGACCAACAAACACACAACCACATTCCCCACCACAACACAACTACAATCAAATGCCGTACTACCAACCACAATCACCGCCAAACTACCAATACCCGGATATGCCTCAAACCCAACCACAATACCAACCCCAATACCAGCACACCCACATACCCCATACACAATTTCAGTCTTCCACATATCCCAATATGGCGCCCTCAACATCCAGCCTTAGCCCTGATATGGGAATGTCAGAAGATTATGACCAAGCCGACCAAACCTACCATCAACCACCATATCACCAAACAACCCAACATCCACAATACCAAACACCCCAAGATCCATTTCCTTTCTATCCCCCATACTCAGACGACCAATGCTACCGACCAACCATGGAACCCCACCCACCGCCAACACGACCAAACTTCGAGGGTATGGGTAATCGACTGTACCAGAGCGGATCTTCGAGATATGGAGATCTTACTGATTTTATGGATTCGGATCGCATTGACTTCGCTGGGCCATCGACCTTGCCGCAGCAGGAAACGAGACGGCACCCAGCAAGAGAAAGGCGAGGACGGGGATGCGGAACTAGGGGTCATTACCGGGTTCCTGGGGATCACTGATGTATCTTTTTTTTTCCCAGTATTTTTTGTATCCATTTTTTTACTGTTCTTTAAATGTAAAACAGTTGAATGTAATTATTTTTTTTTAAATAAAAAATCCATTTTGTTGATCTCTGTCTAATAGGCAACGCGCAGGAAAGAAAATAAAAAAAAAATTTTTTGTCCTAATTTTGTACATAGGCGCCATCTCACTTGGCTTAGGGCTTGCCCTAAGCACTTAGGCGCCAAGTGAGATGGCGCCTCCCTTAAAAAAAGAGGAGTAGGCGCCAATTGAGATGGCTCCTCCTTTGTGGAGCCATCTCAAACATGATTATTTGCGTAATTTTTTCCGAAACCCGATTATTTGCGAAATATTATTTTAATACTTGGTTATTAATAAAAAAAATTCCGTAAATGTTCTTAAATAAATGTTCTTTAATAGTAGCGTTTATTTTCTCAATTTGTTACAAATCAACATCTTTCCCTGTACGTTATAGTACGCATCTTCTAAGTAAGTTCTATTTCAACAAAACTAATGAAGTAAAATTAGTTAAGTTTCAAAATCTCAAGCGGTCAAATCAAAAAACACAACTCATCAACTACATATATTTCAATTTTATAATAGATAGTTGTAGCTCAAGTGTCAACGGTCAGCATTGTTGGCCAAAAAGTTATGTGTCAATCTCAGCCTATATATATTACCAACCATCTCTTCCCTATTCACCAAAAGTCTCTCTTTTATCTTTCTTCTTTTATAATATTTGAACTTCAATATGAAACCTACTTCCAAATTGCATGGTTTTAAGTATGATCAACAAAAGATAAACATCAATGGTCCTCGTCCTACACCTTTGATGATTCGCAAGCCTAACTCATCATACAAACAACAAAGGGTTCCCATCATCATATACACTCAATCACCAAAGATTATTCATGCAAAAGCACAAGATTTCATGGCTCTTGTTCAAAGACTCACAGGCATGTCAACTACCAATCAAGTACTGGCACATCAGCAAGAAGTCTCTGAGAATTTTGAATCATCTTTATCTGATGGATCAAACAATAATAGCATGAAATTCAAACAGCTTGATGGTGATGAAACTACTTCAACAACTAGCTCAGTTGATAAGGGAGGTGTCAATAGCAATATTGATGATGAACAAAGTCCTGCTAATATCATGAAATTCGCTGACATGCCATTATTCACTCCAACTTCATATGATTTCTTCAGCCCAAACAATTCATCTCGACCTGTTTATAAATTTTCTGATTCTCCATATGGGATTTTGGGAAGTTTGATATCTCCTTCTGGATTGGGATTCATCCAAGACCTACCTGAATATTAGGTGCATATGCTTGTTCATGTTGTGTGTTATATATTAGGATGCAGATTTCTTAATTATTAGTAGTTTTTGCATATTTAATTTTTGTAAAGTTTGTTGTATTATGGACATAAGAAATTGTCATGAAGTACTAGGAGATTTAATTCATTCTTTCTATACATAAGAATAATTAGAACAAGATTACTTGTTAATCATTTGAAATTTGTTACCTTAATTAATTTCATTTCTTTACTTACTCTTTATTTCCATGTTAATTTTTTTCTCCTCAGACAATTTTATATATATATATATATATATATATATATATATATATATATATATATATATATATATATATATATATATATATATATATATATATATATATATATATATATATATAAAGATTCTTTCCTCTTACCAACCCCTAAACCAGATAGTGGTAAAAGAAAGGAGGAAAGAAGGAATATCTTATGGAACCAAACCTACCATAAAAATGGAACAATGCATTCAAGCATTTAGTTAGTCAACGCTAAAAACAATGTGACAAGTTTCATGGATCAGTGTCTGGTTTTGGTATTTTTGTCACCTTGTTATTATCTGATTATTATGTAAATCCTTTTGATAAAGAGATGTACCTATAATACAAGAGCAAAAGTCAACTTCTTGCTTATATCATGTACCATTTTTATAAGTACAAGTTGAAAATATTGTATAGTTGAATTACTAATATTTAACATTTGGTTGAAGTTGTAATTGTCAATTGATTACATAGCGCACAACCGGCAAGACCTCCATTTGGAGTATATATATCAAAGCTTACGTGTCATAAAAAAATAGTCAATACAAAAAAACAATGGTTTTAAAACGTATGGTTATGGTTTGACAAACATAACCAACATGATTGCATGATATCCTTATAATTTTAAAATAATCAGCATAAAATATATCAAATATAATTTGGATTATAGCAAAGATGTGTTGTTCTCCTATTATGATAATACTCCATTTGTTGTAATAATATAATTTAATATTATGTGTAAACAATGTAATATTAAAAAAAAGTTTATATATTTTTTATCTCGGTTTTGTAAGAAATCGAGAGAATAATTTTGACGTGATAATTGAGGATATTGATCACCGTCTTTAAACAAATATGAGTCGTCCATTTCGTGAGTATCAACGCTCAAGACACTTTCATTAGTGATCCGCGTGAAATCTAACAAACATCTATTATAAAAGCATTCTGAATATCAATCATTGTTAATGAAACATATAATTGTTTACCCTAGAATTTGGTAAACAAGCGCTAGTTTTCCAAAACAAAAATATTTTGGATACTCACAGTATCGACTAGATTGATCCTATGACGATGTGTTTAGTTTTTAGTGATTTATGGTTTTCGAATGTTCATCTTTTTTAATGTAATGGTCAATTGGTAAGTAATTGTGAAACTATGTGAAGTAACAATAGGAAAGTAAAGAGATTTTGACTTGAATGTAAAAGGAATTAAAAGAACTTTTGTAAAGATAAATTGGCAATTGAATAAAACTTGGTGATTCATAAGTACATTCTCAAAAACTTGTTTCTCGGTAAATATTGGTACTTTGAGTGAAATTGAATATTTGTACAGAATTTGAACACACTAAAGTTCTAACACTAAGATTCTAATTTATACTAGTTCGACCATAACGGTGCCCTCTTAAAAGAATGCCACGTTTCTATGTTTGCATGCACTTCGAATCCTCATACTTCCACGTGATCTTTTTGGATAAGATCAAACCTTTTGAATTCAAAATCTTCTTCCTTTCGAGGCGCCAAATCAACCAACATGACTGTCAAAACATTCCCTTCGAAACTTTAAATATCCTAAGTCCCACATGATAACGAGAAATTGTATAGTGTTTTTAGACTTATTGTGCATGTTATTTGTCTGTATTTCACTTTATTTTATCACCTTTTTATTTATTTTTATTTGTTTGGAAGTTGTCAGCAAGTTCCAGTGCAGATTCGCGAGCAAACCGAAAATGGAGTGAAAGAGCAGCAAAAAGATAAGAATCCGCCTGTTTTCCTGATATGGTGTTCTCCGTATGTTTACGACGTTCGTCATTGCCCATCCCTGCCATGTCAATCAATGAAAAAGGGAGTGACGTTCATCATTATCTCACAAAAGGTAGTTTTTGCATAAGAGCAATTTGCAGCAGTTGTTCCCAACTCTTTATCCCTACAACTGCATGAACGACCAGAGGAAGTTACCAACATTATTTACTCTATATATAGGACCTCAGGGCAGTTTTTGTGGCATCCAAGTCGTGCGGAAGCGCTGTTGAATTAGCGTTATAGTCTTAGACATAAATTTACCTGTAAAAGTGACAATAACTCATATCGAGGGATTGATACACTTTTTCTCTTTATTTGCACTGTACTCTTGGATCAAAAACAAGCCTGGCGGTATTTTCGTATCAATTCAAGTTTCGTTTCTTTAAATTCAGGTTTATTATTGCTTATTTATTTATGCTTTCTATTATTAATATTATATTGCATTATATGTTAACTTTACACACAATTGCTCTGAACATGTTAATTTTAATTTTAATTATGTCTTGCTAAATTCATTTGAGTCTGGCATATGAGAATTGTTGTTACCGACGAGACTCAGTAGAAAATTATAGGTGCGAAGTAATGATTATATGTTGTTCTGGTTTCAGTTTCTAATTGTATAATTTATTGTTCTGACACGAGAGTGAAGAACAAATAAATTTTTAATCTGATAGCTCGAGAGCGTGAGGAATGGACGGATAGTGGAAACTAGGCATCGATCCTAAAAACAATAAAAGTGCATTATGTATCATTTAGGATTTCATTGGTTTTCAAAATTTGCTTTCTAATTAGAACGGGAGAGCGAGAGCAAAATATTGTGGTTAGGAGGCGTGGTTTTTGTCAATAGCGCGAGAGTGTGAGATGGAACCTTTAAGTCAATATTTTCTACATAACTCATAAAAGTAGTAATTAGTACCCGGATTCTACAAGTCCCTTAGGAGTAGAGAATCCATACTATGGGTTCATTTTTCCATTAATCCCAAACCTCTAGCAATTATCATTTACATTTTCGTTCGTATCCATTTTAACCTTTAGTCCTAGTTGTGCACTGCAACGATAGATCAAATTAGTTTGATTATTAGTCTCTATGGGTTTCACAATCTTTTAAAACTACACGGTCAACTGTATACTTGCAGTTATTATCCGACAGACACGTTGGTGTTAGTCAAGTTTTTACCGCTGTTGTCGGGGACTGTGATACGGTGGGAGAATTGACTTGAGTTTTGCGTTTGTATTCGCACTTGTTCGGTTTAGTAAGAGTCGCCACCGACTTTTTATTTTATCCTAAAGGAAAGGTTAAAAAGCACAGGAAAAACCTTTTGAGATATTTCGTGGGTTCGGGGGGTAGATTATGAAAAGGGAAGGTATTAGCACCCTTTTCATCCATGGTTATCCATGGGCTCTTAGTTACTTGGTTTTAGATCACTTGCCTTGATTTTCTTTTTGATTGCTTGAAATTGTGGTGTATGTGTGTATTTTGAAAATGTTTTTGAAATAGACGCCTTTGTTTCGGCAACCAATGTAATTGACTCGTGTTTGAGTGTTTTACAAAAGTGTGTATCTTTTCGAAAAGATGTTTCAAATGTTTTTGAGAGTTTGTTTTGAAAGTGTTTGTGAGGTGTGGTTTTTGAAAAGGAGGCAAGTGTTTTTTGCAAGTTGATCTCAAGTAACTAAGAGTTTTGTCTACCCCTATTGTACTCAAAGGTTTTCTCTATGTTTTCAACCCCTTTTTAACAATTTTGTTCCACCATTGAATTTGGTGGACAATCTTGCGTTTAGGAAGTTTAACGGGACGGGCGCGGGTCATCGTATGGACCATGAATGCAATGGTGCCAAGTGTCTTTGGCAATTTTGCTTGAAGGGACTTGATCATATTGATAGGCGACTTTTGAAAGCGTCATCGAGGGACTTATGATCATTTTGAATTGTTTTGCCAAAGAAACTCGGCGTGCAAGCATGGCCCATTTTGGAAGGCAACATGTGGGATTACCCTAGGGGGTGCAAGTGTGATTGTGGATTGATTTCATGCATTTGTCTTTGTATTAGGTTATCTAGCGTTCGATTTTATGTACATACAAACCCTAGGTCTAACCATGGTATAATTCGAAAGCGGTAAATTGCGGGAATTTTAAAGTCTATGCTATTACAAATGGTATCCGGGAGTGGGGGTACAAATTCACAAATGGGGATGAGACTTAAATAATTACAACCAAATCGAATTGCGTTCAAATGTAATCAATGTATAGTAAAGTGTAAGAATATCAAATGTATAATGTATCAAATATGAAATGTATAGTGTAAATGTACGTGTATGAGAATTGTTTACAAGTTGCGAAATGTGAATTTAATGTATTATTAAGTATTGTTTGATTTAAATTTGTATTTTTTATATTTTTTGTTTAATATGTACAAAAAGTATTTTAATGAAGAGAAAGGAAAATGTTTTTTTAATTCTATTCTTTTATGCATTTTTGGTATTAATGTACAAATAAAGAATATTTTAAGTTTTATTTCTTATATAGTATTAATATATATTTATACAAGAATTTTAATTGAAAGAAATGTTTTAAATTTGAGAAAAATATATTGTGTTCAAAATTATAATTATGTTCTAAAAAGTATTATTAACGAAAAAATTTAATGTACAAAATGTTATGTTAATTTATATATCTAAAAAGAAAATGATAGTTTAAATTGTGAAAAGAAAATAAGTAAAAAAAATTGGTTTAAGAATTGAATGGGCCTTTGTTATGCTGGCCCAAACTGAATTGTAAAAGAGAGACAAAAAGGGAGGGGGTGCGTTCAGGAAAAATAACATGGGCTTAGGGTGAGTGAATGGGGCGAGGCCCACTGATTTCATAGCATTGTTTTTTAGGGTTCATGATTATTGTTTCATTTGGGTTGTCTTAGGGTTTGTAACACAG